AAAGAAATGTGAACAATGGTTTCAAAGGAAACCAAGCCCATGATGACACACATCCTTTCTCTCTCTCTCTCTCTTTCTATCCAAAAGTGCAAATACAGATACTTCATGACAAAATACACACACTAAGGAAAAAAAGAAACAGACAGAAGGTTTTGAGTCTTTACTAATATGTGAAGCTACCATAGCAACACTAGACTAAGAGGTTTGGATTTGTTGTACATGGAAAATAAGCCTCCATATAACTTATATACAATGCTGTAATCAGGGTCAATTACTCTTAGCCTAATAGATACAAATGCAACATTGACTAAGGGTATGTGAGATACAGTTAACTGAGGGAAGTTACATGAAATATTCAATACTCCCTTTGAATAAAATACCTAGGAATAAATTGAACCAAAGAGGTAAGACTTGTACATGGAAAATTATAAATCATTACTGAAGGAAATTAATGAAGACCGAAATGAAAGTAAGGACAGTCTGTGTTCATGAAGTGGAAGACATAATATTGTTAAGATGTCTATACTGCTGAAAGCAATCTATGGATTCAACACAATACCCATCAAAATTATATTTTAAAAAAAGCTACTAGAATAATTGAGTTAGCAGTGTTTCATGATATGAGATCAGTATACAAAATCAATTGCATTCGTATACATTTGCAAGGGTTAATTAGAAATTAAAGCTGACATAACGGTACCATTACTGATAGAATTTAAAGTATGAAATATTTACAGATAATTTTTTTCCTAATAGGCAAGATAACAGTGCTAGAAAAAATATGTAAAAAATATGCAAGATCAGTACACTAAAAGCTACAAAATATTGCTAAGATAAATTAAAGATGACAAAACAAATGGGGAGAAATACTGTGTTCATAGATCAGAGGACTAACTGTTGCTAGGTGATTATTCTCCCCAAATTGACCTCCTTACTGATTTAAGACTGAGAATAAAAGATTTTTCCATGTAGAGGAAAGTTTCTGTGGGTCTGAACAACTAACAAAACCTTTAGCCCTTTTTCAAGGACTAGAGAGATTCAGGAAACCCTGGTTGCCGTGATTAAGAGTTCAGCAGCTAACCAAAATGTTGGCAGTTCGAATGCACCAGGCCCTCCTAGGAAACCCTATGGGGCAGTTCCATTTTGTCCTATTGGATCACTATGAGTCGAAATCTAGTCTGCGACAACAGGTGTGGTTTTTGGTTTAGAGGGATTAGAATTAGGCTTAAACAAATGCTTGTTTCTACCTCATAATATTTATGAAATTGTGAAGCTGAAAATGAGGCAAAGCTAAAAATCTAAGTAGAAACCTCAGAAAAGCTGAACATGTTTTTTTTTTTTTTTAAGTCTCATGAATATGAGGAGACAATGATTAATGTTTAAAACCTATAAATAAGGCTGAGCTCTGTTGAGCTCCCACCTGCCTCTAGCTGAAAGCTCAGGATGAACGTGCCCCGGAGAATGGGTAAAGCAGAAGCAGACTGAGTCTTATCAAAGTTGTAACCAAACTGCATTACTTTTCTCTTGTTGTGTAATAATATTACTACAAACACAGTGACTTAATGTTACTACAAACACAGTGACTTAAAACACACATTTATTTTCTCACTGTTTGTGTGTCAGGGATCAAGGCACAGCATAGTTGTATCCTCTGCTTAGGGTCTCATGAGGTTACATTCAAGCTGCTTGATGAGGCTGCTGCTGTCACATCTGAAGCTCAACTGGGGACAGATCCAAGCTCACTCAAGTTGTTGGAAGAATTCAGTTCTTTGTGGTTGTGGGAATGAGAGCTTTAATAATCCTTACCCACAGGAGTGAAACCCCATTCAATACGGGAGAATATACAAAGGTATGACAATTAGGAGGCCAGGATCAGGGGAGGGCACTTTGGGAGTCTGTCTGCCACTCCAGGTTTGATTTAGCTCAGTCTCCATTTGTGTTAAGTTGATCAGACTTCACTTTATCTGCCTAGAAGAGGAAAGAATAAACACTCTTTAGAGGAAGGTAACATCGTCTGTGGCCTTTCCAGTATGTAATACACAAGATCCAATAGAAAATCAAATGTATTCAACATACCAAGAGAGAAGTCCTTATAACAATAAAATAAAGAGAAAAAAAATGCTAATAGAAACACACATGTATTTAAATATTAGAGCCGGCCAATAATGTTTTTTAAGTAATTATGATTAAATGCTCAAGAAAATACAAGCAAGTGTGTAAAACTCGTGTAAAAAGAAGAATAATTTCATTATGGAATTTGAATCTATGGAAGAGAATAAAATAGAAAACCTTATAGAGATATAAAAAGTGGACATTTGCTTATTATAGAAAATATACCAAAAAACCAAACCTGTTACTACCAAGTCGATTCCAACTCATAGCAACCTTATAGGGCAGAGTAGAACTGCCCTATGGGGTTTCCAAGGAGCAGCTAGTGGATTTGAAGGGCCAACTTTTTGGTTAGCAGCCAAGCTCTTAACTACTGTGCCACCAGGGCTCCATAGAAAATACAGAATACAGAAATTTCTTACAAGTATACATAAATTCATTAACAAAGAAATTTACCTATTTCTTTATTAGTGTAGTATTTTTCAGTCACAAAGATTTACAAGTAAATAAAATTGCTGTTAAATTCTGTAAATTTAATTTGCTGGAGAAATTTGAAGACTGTGAGGAGCTGACATAACAACAATAAACTCAAAACCTGGTACAAACCTCCACTATACTGATCCAAATCCTAACACTAAATGTCCAGTGAAAACGAAGTTTACTCATCTTTAGCACAAGATGTATTTATCTTAGTCTTTATTGTAGTACATGAGGCTTTTACAGTTTGACAAATGGAATTTATGAGGCACGCACAAACCATGAAAATAAAAAAAAAGAAGACTCTGTTAAGAAGCAAGCGAATAAACAGAACCAGGCACAGATATGACACAGATGTTGAAATTATTAGACATGGAATTTAAAAAATACTATCATTAATGTACTGAAGTCTCTAATGGAAAAGATGGACAACAAAAAGCATCCAGTGAGTACTTTCAGCAGGGAAAGGTAAATTGTAACATAGAATAAAATAAAAATATTAGAAATTTCAAACCACAGTAACATTTAAGAATGCTTTTGACAGGTTCATTAGCAGATTTAACAGGACTTAAGAAAAAATTAGTAAACATGAAGACAGGTCAACAGAAACAGAAAAAGATGAAAGAGTGAAAAAGAACTAGAACAGAGTATTGAAGAGCTGTAGGAAAACATCAAAGAATCTAATATATGTCTAATTAGATTTCCAAAAGGAGAATACTTAAGGGCTAGGGTAAGAAGAATATTTGAAGAAACCATACCTAAAAACTTTTGAAAATGAATGACAGATACTAAACCAGAGATAAAAAAAGACCATATAAATAACAAAAAACAAGCAGGGTAAATGACAACAAAGAAATAACCCTGAGGCATATCATACTCCACTGATAAAAATCAAATCAAGGAGAAAATCTTGAAGCCAGCCAGAGGTGGGGGGAAGACACATTAGATATACAGGAAGAAAGATAAAGATTACAGTAAGCTTATCTGAAGCTGTACAAGTCAAAAGACAATGAAAGGACATCTAAAATACTGACAGAAAGAAAAAACACAATGTTCCACCTGGAATTCTATACATAGCAAAAATTTCTTTCAAAATTGAATGAGAAATAAGTACTTTCTTACACAAAATATTTTAAAAATGAGAAAATTTATTCCCAGAAAATCTGCACTACAAGAAATATTAAAGGAAGTTTTTCAGGTGGAAGTCATTGACGCCAGACAGAAACATGAATTTACACAAAGAAGCACACAGTGCTGGAAATGATATAAATGAAGGTAACAAACTCATTTTCTTTGACTTTAATTGCTCTGTAACTGCCTAAAGCAAAAATAGCAGCTATGTATTATGTGTTTGTTGTACTATAGCAAACATAAAAATAAAATAGATGAAAATAGAACAAAGGACAAGGATACATTTATCTAAGATTCATAAATGCAGTGCAAGCAATAAAATATCATTCCAACGTAGATTCTAATTTATTAAAGATGTATATTGTAATTGCTAGGAAAGCCCTGGTGGCACAGTGGTTAGTGCTTGGCTACCAACCAAAAGGCCAGCTGTTTGAACCCACCAGCTGCTCCCTGGGAGAAAAATGCGACAGTCTGCTTCTGTAAAGATTTCCAGCCTTGGAAGTGCTATGTGGCAGGTCTGCTGTGTCCTGTAGGGTCGCTATGAGTTGGAATCAACTCGACTGCAATGTTTTCTTTTTGTTTTAGTTTTTTTTATTTTATTTTTTTGTAAATGCTAGGGCAACCACTAATTTTTTTTTTAAAAAAATCCAATATTGGAGAAAAATGTAATTATAAATAGTGATCAATTAAACCAAAAGAAAGTAGAAAAAAGGTAAAACATAAACCACAAATAGAAAATATTTTAATCCAACCATATCAGTACTAATCGAATGAAATGTAAATGGTATAAACAGACTAAATTAAGTCTAAGATTATTAGATTGGACAAAAAAAAAAGGAAGACTAGGGAATCTAACCATATCACAAATGAGTGAAACAACTTCAGTGAGTGGGTTGCGGGGGGAAGGTATTGACATAAGTTACTCTGAAAATGGGTGGAGTCTGCAAAACTAAAGGACGGCACATAACCATTGTACTCTAGTTTATAAAGTTGTTTCCCAAGAAAGTACATGTTAAAAATACTATATTGCTGTACATGTATACTGGTACTGAACAATTGAATATATGGATGGCGGTTGGTTAGATACAGGTTTCATACTCTTGAGTGCAAATTTACAGACAAGCTAGAAGAGGACGCTAGAATCATCATGGATTAGAGTTTGAGATATCAGTTTGAACTCCTGTTTAGCTTAATAAAGACACAGATAGTTACATATAGAAATGCTTATAGATATGGGTGTGTACACGAGTTACTATACACAGATATATTTTCTTGCTTTGCCAGCTGAGAGGGCCTAGAAGTAATGGTACCATAGTAGCAAGGGGCACACTTAGACTTCTTAACATTGCCTAAAATTAAAGATTTTCTGCCTACCAGTCTCTCCAATACCATGAAATTTCTGGCACTTTTACAGTACTAACTACATTTCAGCTACTCTGATCTTTATATCTTCAAATGTATCAAACTCATAAGATCTTCATGTCTGAATACTGGTCATTTTCTCTGGCTATAATTTAATTGCATGGTTGACCCTTTCATGTCATTTGGATATCAGCTAACATACCACTCAGCAAGACCTCGCTTGACAACCAAAAGTAAACTAACTACCTCTTCCCCACAGTCAAACTCTAGCATAACATTATTTTCAACTTGCGTCAGGGCACTGTCTCTTTCTGAAATTATTGTTATTTGCTTGTTTAATATTTTAACCTGTATTTACCCATTGAATGTAATTTCAGGAGAAACAGAATCTTACCATCTTACCTGTCTCATTCATATGACTAGACTAGTGCCTGCAAATTGGAAGTGCTTAATAAATGTCATATTTCCTAAATGACTGACTGATTCAGTGCATGAATGAATAAATAATTTAATAAATGTCAGTTAGACTTTCTCATCTCTTGATTTTCTCATTCTCCTATTCCATTCAGCAAACGATGTGCCTATTCAACAACCTCCTCACAGAAGCTTTTACTTCCTGGTTGCGAAGGGTATAAATCACAGGGTTCATCAAAGGAAAAATTACTGTGTGGAAGACAGAAATCACTTTGTCAGCTGGGAAGGCCCTGAAGGGGCGAGTGTAGATAAAAATGGCAGGTCCAAACATGAGAAACACGATGATAATGTGAGTGGTACATGTGGACACAGCCTTGTTCTTCCCTTCAGAACAGTGCCCCTTTACACGGCACAGGATGACAGCATAGGAGGCCAGAAGACCCAGGAAACACAGCAGGGTGAGCAAGCCACTATTGGAGACCATAAGGAGCTCCACTACAAACGTGTCTGTGCAGGCCAGCTTGATGACCTGTGGGACATCACAGAAGAAGTTATCCAGCTGGTTTGGGCCACAGAAGGGCAAATGTAGGATAAGGGCTACTTGAACAATGGAATGGGCAAAGCCCCCAAGCCACAGAGCCAATAACAAAGCATAGCAAACTCTAGGTTTCATGACAGTTGAATAGTGTAAAGGCCGACATAAGGCAACGTAGCGGTCAAAGGCCATCACAACAAGAAGGAACATCTCCCCTGCTCCAAGGAAGTGCAAGAAAAAGAGCTGAGTGATGCAGCCTCTGTAGGAGATCACCTTCTGCTCAGCCAGGAAGTCTGTCAGCATCCTTGGAGCCACAATGAAGGAGTATGATGCATCCAGGAAGGCTAGGTTGCTCAGGAAGAAGTAGAGGGGGGCTGTGAGGCTAGGGTCTGATTTTATAGTAAGAATGATGAGGAAATTTCCAGGGAGAATGATGAGGTAGAAAATTAAGACTAGCACAAAGACCAGGAGTTGAGCATCTTGAGACTGGGTCAGACCAAGAAGAATGAACTCTGTCACCACTGTGCTGTTCTCTCTCTCCATGGCTCCTCAGTCTATGGAATAACAAAAAGCAAGTTGTTGTCTGTTATTATATTCACCCTTTTATATATTCCATAGCTCCTTTCCAGTTAAAAATAATGTTTATCACATCCAGTGCTTCTCCACCTTGAAACAACTAACAACCAATGCCCCCTCACTTTCCCATATCCTGGATAAACTCATCTACCCTTCATTTTCCTGATGCCACGCTAAGAGCAATGTGACTGCTCTCACATAGGACTCAGAGATGCCCATGCCTTCGGATTGGTACATACTTTGCTCGAGGTATATTCGAAATTTGCTGATTGAAATGCACTATCAGAGTCATCTGTTTTTGTTGTTGTTGATGGTGGTGGTTGTTGTGGTGGCGGTACACAGTCTCTGATGTTCAGATTAGTTACTGGGTTTTTGGTCCCTTTTCCTCATCCTCACAGAACAAAGTATTATTGAAGGTCTTTCTTTCCTACAGTTTCTGTAGAATCCCTAGTTCTTGGCTATTGACTGCCTAGTTTTCTGAATTCATAAGTTAGTAGTTTCCATCACATTGTCCTGGTTTGGTGCCCTTTTTCACTCTTACTCCAAACAGGTCACTAAGATCTCAAGCAAGAACCCTACGTTTCACCTAACTTAGAGATATTCCCCTGGTTGCATCTCTGGTTGGATCTCAATCCTGCATCTGCTGCGTACCCTATTCTTGCTTTCTAATTAGCACTAATCCAGTCTCATTTGTTCACATTATTTCCATAGCCTACTTCTTCCTCAGATGCCAGAATGACAGCCAAATGATATACTTCCTACAAAATTTTTCCTATCATAAAAAATTTACCAGAATAAGATTTTGGTTATCTCAGTTAATACAATTAAAGAGTACTAGAGCTGGAATTTGCCATAAAGGGCACATAGTCTGATATACTCATTTGACAGATTAGAAGAATACAGCTATTTCAATTAAGCTTCTTAAATATACAATTAGTTTTTTTTCCATGCTTTCATTAGCAAGTGGGATACAGATATGTACTCCTTAGTTTAAGCTATTTGGGAAATTATTAATTACTATCTCATCAATTGGTGCTTGCCGTATTTCTGTTATAGCAGCATTAGCTATCTAAGACAGCACTAATACATAATACACTATGAATGAGCCTCAGAAACATTATGTTAAGTAAAATGAGACAAACACACAAAAGGCCACATATGGTATAATTCCATTTATGTGAAAGGCAAATCTGCAAAGACAGAAAGTAGAATAGTGGTTTTTTAGGGCTGGGAATGGGATGGTGAGTGACTACTAATGCATATAAGAGTTCTTTTTGGGGTGATGAAAATGCTGTAAAATCAGATTATGGTGTGCTTGCACAACTCTGTAAAAACATTAAGAATCATTGAATTTACACTTAAAAGGTGAATTTTGTGATGTGTTAATTATATCTCGATAAAGCTGCTTTTAAAAAAGTGCTATGGAATGTAGTGATGGGGAGGTTGGAGGGAGAAAATTTTCCCAACTGATTTTTTTTTACTTACATTATTAGTGGCATCCCTAGAAAGAGAAACTAGGAAGAGAAAAAAGAGATGGAGAGAATAAAACAAAATCAGCCAGAGATGTCCAAAAAGAGAACTCATGGGAAATTTAGGCATTCCATTGGCGTCTTAGGGTGCATCAATTATGAAACATAACAGTATCTGCTTTATATGCTTAGTAACATTTTTAATTGTTAGCCAAATGTTATGGAATGGATACCTATAACACATGGACACATATTTATGCGTGCAAACACATACTGATGCAGGTATAAACACACTGAGTGAATCTAAGCAAATTAAAACAGAAAAAGTCTCTTTGGTGTCTTTCAAATTAGCTTCAGGAGTTCCCTTCTCTCTTTTCCCCACGTAGGCACCCATTGGCCTCTACAGTCATACCTCTCTGCCTTCAGAAACCTACTCTTAGGGAAGTAAGTCATAAAGTCTCACCACCTATTTTTACATTTTGTACGTTCCAGGTGGCCACTTAGTTATTTCATGCTCCTTAGATTGACAGTTCTAAGACTCAGGGGCACTCTGAGAGCTCTTCCACTCTTGCTTTGTTTTTATTTCTTATCATCTACGTTTATTCCCCAGTCTGTTACCTAACAGGTAGAGTCCCATAACACTTAATGGCTAATCCACCTTTTTTTCTCCCATTTTCAATTATGTACCTCTGTTCGTGTGATTTTTAAATTGTGCTCATCACAGGTCCAGAGACAGAATATCTGTGCATATCAGATGGGTAGTCCTCTGTGCCAAATAAGTTCCTGTAATAAAGCCCCAAAACATTGGATCTCACGGGGACAAACTGTCTGTTTTAGTCAGATAAAGCAAAGAAGTATTATTAACGTAGGCTAAAACAGCAATCTGAACGCTAGCCATTATCACCAACCTTCCTTCTTACTTCAGCTGTGCATGAAATCTAACACTGAAAAACGCAGGGCTTGGGAGAGTGCCCATATCCCTCGCCTCTTTCTCAGACTCACAAGCACCTGTAGGCAGCACTGCATATGCCTGGATTCCAGACTACTGTCAGACTAGCTCTTGGAGCCAGGTGTTTGGAGACCTGATCACCATCTCAAAGCTCACTCCCCCATTTCCCCCCATCCATTTCCTCTTGCTTCCTTCTTATTTTTCCTCTTTCCTCATTATTTTCCTGCTAATTCTATCTTCATACACTTCCTTTTCTCACATTCGATTTTAGCTTCTTTGTTAACCTATTACTTTCTCTTCTACTTCCTCTCACAATTTATCCCTCTCCCTTTATCCCTTTGCTTTTTCTTCCACATTGCTGTCTCATTATTTTCTCATCTTTCTCTTATTTGTTCACATTCTTTTAGTCTTTAATCTTTTTTTCATTTTGTTCTCTACATTTATTATACTCCGTTATATTCCATGCCTGTCTTTCCATTCATTTCAAGAAAATAGATTATTTTACCCATTCCAAGGTAGGTGCTTCCCAGATGTTTCATTCCAGTGGACTTTTCTACAGATTGAAAATGCGTATCTCACTTTTCAGTGTTTGCTTTTCCTCTTAAATGTTATCGTCTTTCACATTTATTAAGTCTGAGTAACTTATTAATTATATTTTTTTACTTTTTTTTTGTAACTGATCCTGATTAAAAATGGAGTAACTTATTTTTGTGCTCTAGAGGAGATTCTGCTAATACTGATCTTGCTAACATGAACAAATTTAATAAAAGTTCCAAAATAAGATACTGTATTGATTTTGTCTTTTGAGTTATTAAGACATACCCTTACCTGTTTACTCAAGTTTAGAAAATGTGAACCAGGCTGAAGAACGTCAAAAATATTGAACTGATACCAATGTTGTTGAGGATTATATAAAGCTTTATTCAATCACTAAATCTTCACGAAGACATTTACTTATCAATTAAGCTGGATAATTAAATTGGATGACAAAAGCCTCTGAAGTATTTGTTTTTTAATATGCTAAACTTTTACATGATATAGTGAGTATTATAGAAAGAGCCCTGTTTTGGGAATTATTCTATCTTAAGTTACTATTTTTGAAATTTACTAACTGTGTAATCTTAGGCAAATCATTTAGCCTTTTAAAATTTGAATTTGTTATCCATAAAATAGAAATAATATGTCTACTCTTTCTACTCTATATAGGTGATATTAAGATTAAATGAGAAGATTAGTAACTGATTCACATCTAGTTAAACAGAGCTAAGAGAGGAAACACTCAGTAATCAAATTCCAGTAAAAATGATAAATGGAGACTATACCAACAGATCTTTTGCCAGGGCCCTAGAGTCAATCCCAGAAGAGATGGTGGCTGCTTAAGTATGAGTGGATTGCAGATTTAGGAAGGTTCAAGGAAGGTTTGAGTGGATTTTCTGAACTTGAGGAAGTTCAAGTAACAGTCCATGTAAAGATTTTCTTACCTAATTCAGAGTTTGTGAATCAAGTCTTCCTCATTTTAGTATCCCTAATTCTGAGCCTTATATTGGTGTATGCTAGGACCCTATACAAAAAAAAAAAGGAAACTCATACCAGGTGAGTGTGGAAACCACGATGTTTGAAAATTGTGAAGTCAGTGAAGTTTTTCTCTGTAACTCAGGCTACCTTTTCTGACTTATTGTGATTATCAATATCTCTCTCCCCTTCATCTCTGACTTACAATGGGGGAAAGTATCAGTCATTTTATGACACCCAAATTTAAACCAAGTAGTGGCTTTCCCAAAGCTACTGAAATTTTCACTTTTTTATAAAAGTGGAATTTAAGGTTTTGACGTCCTTTAAAATAATACTAAAATTCAGGAGGAGCAGGAGTTTTATTTGAGGTAGAGTAGAAGGTGCTAAACATCGGAATTGAGATCTCACTTTTACTCTGTTTCTGCAGCGTTGCTCTATTCTCATGTATTTCGAGGAAGCAGATGTCCCGGGTGAATAGTATGATTTTTTCTTCTATTTCTTCCTCTTTTCTTTCTTTTAAATACGAAGAATGACCAAAAATGTCACCACCCCTGGAGTCCAACACTACTCTCAAACAAATGGCTATCCTCTTCTGATGAAAGGTAGATTAACTGATCACTCCTGAATGTATCTTAAATATATATTCTCATAATGGAAAATTGTAGTTTCTGAAGTCTGCTGTAATTTGTGATGCAATAGAGAGTGTGCTTTGGGGTTTTACAGCTACCTCAACCCTACAGAATACTTCCAATGGGAGCTATTAGTACCTGAACTAGAATTAGACAAAGGGAAAGACCAGAACATTTTAAGGATTAAATATTCAATCATGTACCAGCTAATTCCCTACTGGATAATTTTTGAGTTTTGAATTTAATATTTTATCAGTGACAGGGCTAATGGAATAGCATGCAGGATTATTAGGGATGATGAAGGTACTAAGCCTTGGGAGTTTATTTTAGAGCTCATAAATAAGTGATATAAAGCCACTGATGTTTAATAAGAAAGGAAGTAATGAGGCTAAGTAAAAAATGGTAAATATGTTAGTATTTGATATTTTTGGAGAGTAAGAGATAGAC